TTTCTCACTTTTTTTGCTCCTTCACGTTTTAACTTCCCTTCTTTTCTTCCTTTCTTACTTTATTTGCTCCTTCACTTATATCTATTTCTTCCTCTCATCCGTCTTGCAAATCAGTTACATGACTATTCAAAACATGGCGGGTGGGAAGCTGTACTGATGATTCCCACTCCTACCCGCATGCACTGTTCGGTCTGTGTATACATAGCTAAGGGATGAAACACAGACTGCGTCATAAAATATCTTCATACACATGACATTCAAGTGAAATTCTTCTGTTCTATTTTATTTGGATATTTACTCAAATAACAAACTCAGAATCCCGATTATCTGGGCCGAAGATGATACACTCACTGGAACAAACAAATAATTGTTATTTCTTAGCAAGGCCACCAGTAATTTCCTAATCCAAAGAACAAATGGGAACAAAAACTGATGGTGGTATTATTTCAGACCAAGTAAAGTGGTAAAAATGTATTAATTTTCTGATCAACACGAAACAGACTTATCAAAAGAGCAGATTTTGTATTATTTCCCCGTCTCGGTCTGTCCCTTATTGGTAAATTTCCACGATGATCGCAGTAATATGGATCGACTTTGGTGCCTCGATGAAACACTGGGAAATTAATTTCAACCCACTAAACTTCCCGGTAGCCTTACAAACAGAGGCAGCGAATAATGGTGAACAGTAATTTGCTTATTATTCAGAAATCTAACACAAACTTTTGTTTAACAAAAGTCCAACCTTTGCCTTACAAATTTGGATTAAAAAAAAAGGAAAAAAGGAGCTGGAAGTTACATTTCGAGCAATAATCAAGGCATCGTTCATGAGCTGTTTGAGAGGAATCGATGTGGCAACATTGTAAAATGAATACGCAGCCTGAATTGACTTATACAATGGGTGATGCATCACTGATGATGGTAGTGAATAGAAACTGATCAAATCGGTCACTTTCTTATCCTTGCTCTGCAAATATGCATCATCAATTTGCACATGAAATTCCTGTCACTCGTTGTCTTTGTGGCAGAAAACAAACAAATGCAATGAGGGGCATTCAACTCTAAAAAAAACAAGAAAATAACGGAAGTTAGGGTGATTTAGTAGGCCAATCAGCTAAACTTTCCAAAACGATGACCATAAGATGAAAGGATGCCAGTTCTACAAATATGCAAAGCTGCGCTATAGCAAAACGGCAGTTCATCAAATTACCACACTAACTGCATTATTTAATTTCCAGGAATTCGCAACAGATAATTAAATTTGCTCGAATTTGAAGCCCTTTTTTCCCTGATCCAAAAAAATTTCCTCTTTACAAACTGTACGCTGCTTTCGTCGGTCCTCAGCAAAGGGTTTTCATGTGAAAAAGAAAAATAAAAGCCTTCGGCAGATATCGGAAGAGATTTCCGGTTACAGAAATCAATCTTCGGATTGTATCGAATACTTTTTTTTCACTTAACACTATAAGTGATTACAGATTTCTTAACCTCACATCCTTTTTGGGAGTTATTTTGTTCGTTGTGCTTTAAAAGATGGACAGAACTGTTATGCAAATATTTTGAAACAAAGGCTGGAACGCACCAGGCGAGCCGGTGCGATCATGCGTTTTTGCATCAAAACT